TTTTGCTGCAATATTTGTTCAACCTTAGTTTTGTTCAGAAGTAAAACATTTAATACACTATCTTTTAATACTCAATTTGTAGTTTTCTGTGTATTATCAAAGAACTGTGGAAGGGTTGAGGTTGGAAGGGAGATTATCTAGTCTAGCACCCCTCCACAAGCAGGGTCTGCCAGAGCAGGTTGCCCAGGACTCTGTCTAGTTGGGTTTTAAGTAATTCTAGGATGGAGTCTCTAAAACCATTCTGGGCATCTGTACCAGCAGGTAACTGTTGTCACAGTAAAAAAAGGTGTGTGTGGGTTGTTTATGTTCAGATGGAATTTAATTTTTTTTTTTATGTCATTGATTTTTTTTGCTTCAATTATTACTTTGGCCAGAGAATGACTAGCAAAATGCTGAGGTACATTGGAGGTGGCTTTTTGGTTGGGTTTTTTTGTGGGTTTGTTTTTCCCTCCTCAGGTGTTCTGTCTTTTTAAAGAAATACTTCCCATTTCGTTTTAAAAAGGTATTCCATAAAATGATAATCCCTAGAAGGCAGAGATTGTTTTGTGCTGAAGCATTCTTAATGTCTCCCATGCTGGGAGGGGGAGGAGACAATAACAATTTATTTCATATTTATTAACATGTTATACATTATTAGTAGAGAAAATACAGTGTTTGTTTTTTTTTTCCTAGCTTGTGTCATAGGTACTGCTGTATACTCTTGCAATTTTTTGGTGATGAAAGTAAAATTACTTTTTCTACAAAAGAAAAAATGAGTAAATTTGAAACTGGCAAAATTGAGATGCATTTTTCATCCATTAAAGGATTATATTTGAAATACAATGGCTTAATGTAGGATAAGATTGCATTTATAGTTGAATTTCTTGCATCACTCCATTTCAGGGAGCTGATGAATTGACAAGGTATTGTTTTTGTGATCCAGCCACCTAAAGAAATAAACAAGAAAATATTAGTTTGTAAAAGCTTTGATAGTTGTCTTTAGAAGTTGTTGAAAGTGTACAAAACACCTGTACAAAAGCTTGGTGCCTTTGAGGGAAGAGCAAAGGTGCAAGATGAAAAATTTCTCAAGCTGTTCTGAGATGGGCTCCATGGGTTGTCTCACTTGCACAGATCTTCTATTGATGCATATAGAGCTGTTCTTAAAAGGAAGTGAATTTGTATTGGAAGATTCTGATAATGTTGATGATAGTCAGCCTTGTATCTTAGAATGATTACATCTGCAATGGTATTCAAAGGTAAATTAGTTGTTGCTTTTTCAGGGTATCTAGAAGCCATATTGCCCTGTGCTCAGCTACACTAAATATAACGATAAAACTGTAAGATCAGTTTACTTAGACCTTTTTTCAGTTTTGACAAAAGTACTTTCAGTTGTGTTTTCTTTTTTATTTAATCCTACACCTCGGTGGGTTCTTCTTCGATTCACTTTTTGTTAACTTTGTTGTATGGTCTGTCAGTAGAGCTGTCTGCTGTCCTTGTCTCAGATACCATCTGTTGACCTCTTGGTGCTGGCCCTGAATTAGATATGCATCAGGATTTACAATGTGTGAACTGCTATCAGAGCAGAGGGAGATTTTCAGAGCCTGGAGTGCAATAGCTATTGCAAACTGGGACTGCTCAGGTTTAGCACTTAAAGGGTGTTGTCCTTGTGGGCTCTCAACATCAAACTTTTTGTTAAATCTTGCTCCCAACAGATGAGCCCTGTAGAGGTTTGCAGGTTGTTGTAAACAGGGATTTAAAACCAGGCTGTCAAATGCAAGTCCAGGCCATTTTGCAAAGGTAATGTTAGAAGATTATAAACATGCAGTTTTCTCAGTGTCTCATGCTTCCTCAAGGTATTCTGTCACCAAATGTCTGAAATCAGCCTAGCCTTGTTTTTCTTAAAACTGCCTGCCTCAGTTTTGCCATTAGCTTTGGAATTGACCAGAACTTCCCTGTCTCCACTTTTCCTCATAGAGGCTCTTGGTGCCTGAATGTAGAAGGTCCTTTGCTGTTTATTGGGTGAACCCAGGGTGGGTTTACCTTGGCTCTTCCTTTTCCCTTTTTGATTTACTTCTAGAGTCCTTGTAGCATTTAGATTCTACAGCAGGGGCAGAAATCAGACAGATGTGTGTACTGTGTACTTCATATTGGCAGTGCTGAAGTGTGAGGGGTTGAATGTGAATATAACCTTCCTAGCACTCAGTAAGGACAAGTTATCTGACCTTGTGTGAGAGAGTATGTACAATCACAGGATGTACAGTGGATGTACAATGTTCAGATGGATGATGCATCTTGAAGTCAGATAACTGTTGAGTAGCCTTTTTCTCTGTGTGTGTGCCTTGGCATGTAGGCAGTGCATGATCTCTTTGGCTGGCTGCTTTTCTCTCCCCATGTGGAAGAGCAAGCCCTTATATTTCCAAACACGTGCAGTATAGGATCATACTGCTATAATGGAGTGTGTGGTTGATGCTCGTTGAAGCTATTGGACTTGGCTGTTGCTTTCTGAGGAAGACAGAAGCCATAGTATGTGTTAAGCTTCCCCTCACCCTCTGTGTTCCTGAGTTACTTCTCTGGATTGCTTTCAGTTGCTCTGCCAGACAGCCCTTGAAGTAATGATGTTAAAGGCATTGCTCATCACTGATGTCAGAAAGGATTTTTATTTTTTTTTTTGCCAAGTCTGTCTCAGTCAGCATTTACACATAGTAACGTCAAAAGGTTCTAGTGTTTCGGTTAACAAAGGAGTATTCAGTTTGAAAACTGAATGTTTGAAAAAAACCTCCAAAGAGAACTGTCAATTGATATTGTTTTAATAATTTCTAATGTTTGTAAAAGAAATGCAGAATATGAAGTTTGAAAGTTTTATAATACTACCATCTCCTCTTCCCTCAACCTTATGCCCCTTTATTTAATGTCTTATCTGAATTAATGAGAACAAAACAATTTCTCTTGCCCTGTTGTAAACTTTAGTCCAAAAGAGTATTAGCTGAGTGCAGTTTTCTTTTTTGTGCGTGTGTTTATACTGAATAGGGAGATTTTAAATTAATGTAATTTCTTAATCTTGAGTACTAGATAATTTCCTGCTTACGTGTGCCTGACCCATTGTGTACAAAAAACTGTTCACCTTGGACTGTTTTGTGTGCATTGTGCTCAGAAGGTTCTTTCTGATCCATGGAGTATTGTATGAAAGACAGCAGTAAGATGAAAGGTTTGGTGAATTGCCTTTTATAATGTTTTGAAAAGTTAACATGTTGTATAAACATTTAGACTCCTTCCTGCTCTCCTCTTGAAGCTTGGGTTTAGGGTGTCAGCTTTGCCACAAAATAGATGATGACCTTCAGATCTTTGAGACTTTCTAGAGTTCAATCTCAAATATCTATTTCTGATAAATTTCTCCTAACATTAGTATTTGTTCTGTAGATTGGGAAGAAGGTTTGTATGTCCTAGTTACATGTTGCCGTTCCATGCCATTTAAGGAATGATTGTTTACCATTTCAGTGTTAGAAATACCCTCAATTGTTCTATTTCCTGTAAAGTGGTTCAGTTTCCTATAACAGTGAACAATTGCATAGTGAATGTTGACAAGATCCTGTCTCTGTTTCCTAGAAGCATTGTTTTTTCAGGATAATTTGAACCGACAACAAGTCTTTTTGATAATAGTGTATCTTAATAGTAATTAAAATTTTGCACTCGCCTCAAGAAAAGAATATTTCCCAGGCAAGCAATGACTTAGAGATCAGGAATGAAAACCTCTTTTATAGCTTTCATATTTGGAAATAAAAAAATTCTTCAGTGTAAATACAAAACAAATAAAAACTTCCTTAATCCTTTTGTTTTGTTTTAATATTCAGCATTCATCATGTTTTTCTTCTCACTGTCATCTCATTTTACCTTTACCTTTACTGCTCATACCAGATACTTTTGGGGCTGATCTCAAAGCTAGGAAGGGATTAATAGAAGTTTTTTGTATGAGTCTGGGTTTATTATTGAATGTGCAGATTCCAAAAATAAGACATCTCATTGCAGTTTACTTTGAAAAACACCATTACTTTTTATCGTATGGTTTGTGCTTGTCATTCTCTTCTGAGTTTAGAGATGTTTCATCTGCCAGCACTTGAGATCAATCACAGCCATTACCCTTTGTATCAGTATTTGTTTCTGTTAATAGACTTAACAATAATAGCAGAAATACTGAACTATTTCTTAGCCTGTAGGTGTTAAACTATTTCTTAACCCATTCATCCACAGCACTGATGGTTGAGAGCTCAGGGCAGGGGAAGGCTGTTTGGCCTCTAAAATGTCATGAGAAAAAGGGAGCAGCTTATTCCTGAACAGAACACTTTCTTCAGCTGTGCTAGGCTTAAAGCAGATTCAGCTGTTCTTTATTGTTGTGGTTTTGAAGCCCTGATACTCTCCAGCTCTCTTTTTCTTGCCATTAAACTAAACCAATTTACAAATCTATGTATTGCTTTATTTAACAGGGTGGTTTTCTATCTGAAAAATTCTCATGTCTCTTGAGATACCTATCTGAAAAGCATAACTTCTTATTTAACAAACAAAGCAAAACTAAAGTAGTTCTGGATTTTTTTTTTTCCTGACTAAGAACATTCTGCCCTTTATGTTGTTGCAGCAACTTATCACTTCAGTGAATATGCACATTTTTTGTTATCTTTCTTGAGGTTCTTCCTAACCTTCATGCTAGCAACAGCAGATTTGGCATGTGATGGCCTAGGGTTGGTTTGGGGGATTTTTTTTAAATTGAAAACATGCAATCTGTGAGGAAAAATAAAAAGAAGAAAGAGTTGTAATTTGTTAGGGAAGAGTTTTAAGCTTTCCATAGCATTCAGAAAGATGCACACCAAACTTTTACTAGTAAAACTAGTTTATTTCTGTGTGTGATGTTTATACACATCTAAGCTATTTTAGATATGGCAACAAAATCAGTGTGTCTTAGTATCACTTCTGAAAGCATTTGCTGAAGTCTTAAGGCATGTTGCTTAAACATGATGATGTAATTTTTGCAGGTTTCTGTAGCTGCTTCAAGTGCTGGAAGAGGATCTCCAGCTGTAACTCTAGTGCAGTTGCCTTCTGGTCAAACTGTTCATGTCCAGGGTGTCATTCAAGCCACACAGCCCTCAGTCATTCAGTCACCACACATGCAAGCTGTTCAGGTTAGCTCTTTTATTGTTACATTTTCATGAATATTTGGTACCTCATAACTCTTTTCCCAATCCCATCTTCAGTTTCTCTTCATTCCTACCAGTGCTGCAAGATTATTCATATGGCACAGGAAACAGTGGGGTGGAAAGGTGGCAAACATTCAGCCAGTAGCAGCTCTACAGGCATTGTGTAGCAATTCCATAATGTTTCCTGTTTATCTTTTAAGAAATTGTGTTTTGGAACTCTGAACTTACACAACAGCAAATTTGTGTGACGACATGGCCTTACTTCAGTGTATCTTGCAGTTTTTCTGTTCCGTTAAATTTGATGAACATCATGTTTCTAATGAGACTGTGAACTCACAAATTTTCAAGTATCTCATATTTTATTTTTGGAGAAGGTCTGGATGTAATGGAAGTAAACATTATGGTCAAGTGGTTCCCTGTTTTTAGCAGACCCTGTTAGAGCATCTGGTATTGCTTTTTGTGGATATTGATATGTAGAGATCAAAAATACAGGCAGCCTCAAAATAAACATTTATGTAGCAAATGTTCTCATTTAAAGTTGCAGGTATTAGAAAATAGGGATCAGTGAAAAATGATTAAGAGATTTTAAGATTTTAAACATCGAAAAAGACTAGACAGGATGAATTTGCAGTGTTTTGAAAATCACTTGGCCTGCCATTGGTGTTACCCTTGTAGCTAGGAAGGCCTTTGCTCTAGTTGTATGAAAATCTGATTATGAAATGTCAACTGAATTGCTTTTTTTCAATTAGAATTGCTATCTCTGGTAAGAGAGGTGATACACCTGTTATGTGGGAACTGTTTTACCTGTGATCATTGCAACATGTTAAGGAAAAGCCATGTATTATCTGTCTTCTTGAGAAGCCATCTTTAATGTTTGAGACTTCTTACTAGCTTTCAAGGATAGTAAATAAAAAGCACATGTAAGTATGATTTAAGTTAGAGAAAAAGAAAAAAGCTTGGCCAGATAATGGATATTTTATTTTTGAGCAGTAGGTGTAGATGATGGGACCTGGTAAGGTTTTGATATTCTAGATCACCATTGAAACAGGTGCAGTAGATGTCAAGAGACTTGGGTTTGGTCAAACTTGAAGTCAAATCAGAGTATTCAAAGCAAATACTTTTTTTTAATTGGAATTCTTTCTAACTGTAATTTCACAGAATCACAGAATCAGTCAGGTTGGAAGGGACCACTGTGGGTCATCTGGTCCAATCTCCCTGCTTAAGCAGGGTCATCCTAGAGCACAACTTATCAGAATAGCCTTTTCTCATAATAATATTAGTTATTCCTAGTTTCTGTCACTGCTTTTCTTCAAGTCAGTATAGTCAGGACATACATGCAAAAATCGAAGACTTTTTTCAAAGGTCAGAAGGAGGAATTTCTCAGGACTCTCTTGCCAGCTGTGCTGTGTCATCTTAGGAGACTGGAAGTTGACTATTTGTTGTATTGCGTGAACTCTGGCTGTCTCCCCTTTCCCAAGGGAGTAGAAACAAGAAAGTTTTGTCCCGATTAATACTGAGTAGATAGTTCCAGGTTTTTGCTTTGGTTTCATTTGAGCATGCTAATGGCAAATATAAATGACTCTACAAGAAGGGCTTGAAGATGCTGTAAAGACTCCATTACTGAAGGTGTTCAGCCCTTCTGTGATCCTCTTCAGTACTTTATCTTGCCACCTACCATTTCCTCCAGGTCATTTGGCTTTAACTTGCTATCTTCTCTCTGTCAGACAATGGGGAACTTGTGAAATGGTATCAGGTTAATTAAAAACAAAGAAGTATGCTGAAGGTTGATGTTAAAGCTTGCATGACCTCTCCCTCAAACATCTGCAGCCTTCAACTGGAAGGTGTTCAAAATTTTTCTTGTAATGCTGTTGCCTTCTGAATGAAAGAAAATGCTTTTCTATATTGTGTTCTTTATTGTTTTGTTAATGTTGCTTTATTTGTAGGAAGGTTTGAAGTTCAGATTGTTACTTCACTTACTTCTTGGCCCCCCCCTGTAGTGTTTCAGGTCATGTCAGACTAACATGAGTTTGAAGTTAAATTTATTCAAACACAGATAAAGTTGAAGTAAGTGAAGTCTGAATGATGTCCAGGAAAAAATGCCAATGGTTTTCATCTTTTAATGTTGTGAACATGGTTGCTTGATATTAGAATGATCTGAAATGTTACATTTCTCTCTTTGTCATGATGAATATTAAAACTTTCAAAATTTCTTGGCAGAAAATGTCTTCTTCTGTGTTAAAATGCTTAAATCATCTTGTGATTTCCTTACCTTCTACCCAGAGTATGACCATTCCCCACTTCTTCAGCCACCTTCAAGTAGTAGGGGAACTACTGGTAACCCTTAGTGGAATGTGAAGGTTTAACAGCAACCAAGGTCTTCTGTAAGGTCTTGTTTTCCTGCTGTTTGTGCTGGGACAAATACATTATTTAGCACCCCTCACTTTCTAGCAGAGTGAAAGTTCTGTGTTGAGTTAGGATGCCCCAGCTCTTGGCTGTGTAATACTGTGGTAGTTCTGAAGGATAATGCCAGATTGCTGAAGGGCACATTGGCAGGGAAATGCCTTTCAAGACTTCTCTCTGCCTCTCAGCATTGGTCCATCCTGCAAAAGGAGGAATACAAGGTTCTTGAAGTGCTTAGATCTCTGCCAGTCAGCACTGATGTCTGGTTTGAAGCTGTAGACATGCAGAAGGTAACTCTCACCTTTTAGGTGGCAGACATGGAGTTCTGATGATGTTTCCTGCATATTACCCAGCATACATTAAATGTTTTTACACAGAACTGGAATGCAATAAAATTGAGAAGTGAAGGGACAATTTAAGTCTGCAATAACCTGTAGACCTCTCAAGGTGTAGTTCTACAGCTTTGAGTTGAAGTGACCCAGAACCTTCCAGATGGTCATTTTCTGTTGAGGTCCAGCAGGTTTTGTTCCAGCATGAGGCACTGAGGCCTGGCAGATGCCTTAATTCTAGAGTTCTTTCTTGTCTAGCCTTAGCCTCCACTGCACCCAGGTCAAACACTTGAGCCTTCTAGTCACTGACATCATGTTTGTTCAATATTATCTTAACACAGAGCTTAGTCTGAAACTACAGGCTGGTCTGTCCTTATGTGAAAAGGTTGTTTTTCACACTTTTCAATCTTGAAATCTTAGTACACTAATAGTTCTGAGTAGTTAAATGAATCCCAGAAAATAGTATGTTTTCCTTGGTCAACAATGACTTTCAGTTCTGTCTAATAAGATAGTTGCTGATTCAGTCCCAGGCCTTAATGTTGTCTTGGGTAATTTTAAGAGAACATGTGAAAATACTTATACTAAAGGTGTGAGAAAATGAGACATTGTGGACTTGTCAGGGGTTCCCAAAACTAATTGCTAATCAATGCCTTTGTATTTATGTATATGTGTTAGTAACTGTAATAAACATGTATATTTAAATAAAATTATTTTTTGAATAGCTTTGGTGTGGTGTGAAGAGACTTTTATATCGTATACTAATATTTATGGCACATTAGTGCAGTATTCTGTATTTTAAATGTTTAATTTCACTTTAAAAGCTAATTATATTTTACAACATTTTTATATTTAAAGAAGTCTGTCTTCAGTACTTTCTCTAAGTGTCATTCACAAAAAAAGTAACCTGGATTATTTCGACTTTTTTCTTTTTCAAATGGAAGATGTCATCTAAGTGGCTCTGTCTGACCTCATAATTTGTGATTTGCTTTGGAAAAAGAAGTCCAAAGTCACATGATTAGTAATAAATAAGTGCACAGACTTCTTGTATGCAAACATGGAAGGCATTTTAAAAGATAATAATAAAAGATAATGTTGCAATCTTCTTTTTCTTTTTCTTTTTTTTTTTTTTTACAAAGTTATGAATTTCAGGAACTTTGCTATTACAGGTAGCATCGATTGCAGAAGAAGCTGCAGAATCAGAAGTGATAATTGATTCTCAAAAGCGTAGGGAAATACTTTCAAGAAGGCCTTCATACAGGTAAGGACATTTTATTTTGGTTTTGCTGGTTTTAAAGCAGCTCATATATTACAGCAAAACTGTCTGAAAAAAACCAGTCTATTTAGTTTTCTTATGACTGTGGATTTTTTCAAATCCATAAAATGACTTACATTCTTTTTTAGAAAAATCTTGAATGAACTCTCATCAGATGCTCCTGCAGTAGCCAAGATTGATGAAGAAGAGAAGTCAGAAGATGAAGGAACACCTTCTGGTATTTCTGCCATGGCCATGCCAACCAGCCTGTATCATACTAACACAGGGCAATACCGTATGTTTGCAAATGTTCTATGGGATGTTATAGAACATACATAGCACAGCTTTGTTTCTAAGAGTTCCATAATGAAGGAGGGATGTTGGATTTTGATTAAGAGCTTCTGTATTTCTAAATAATTTTAGCTGTTATGTTTAATTTTTCCTAACATGGGCATTATAGACTTTTAGTCTGTGTCTTGTAATGTTTGTTGCTTGCTACATTTAGTCCTTCTAGAGCTTCTGTGCATTAAAATGTGGAGGCAAAGCTCAGGGGAAATGAAAAATATTGCACTTTTATGTGAATGTTCAGTGTTGTAAATCATTGCAGTTTCAAATTCCTGTGATTTGCTATGTATTAGTGCCATTCATTATATGAAATGACAGACTTTTTTTGAAATGTGAGGTTGGAGTATGAAATTATTTGTAAACTTTTAATTTTCTTTCTTAAAAGAACTATGTCTCTTTGTCTTTAGTTGTCAAGTATGAACAATGTAACTGCAGAATTAACCTAAATCGTGGTTTCCAACATTTGATACATCATCCAAATGCAAGTTAAAACATAGATTCACAATTCTGTTCTATAGACTTGGTTTGGGATATTTTTATTCCTGTATTTTTGATAAAAATGTTGAATAACTTGCTTTATATGGCTTCCTTGGGCTTAATCAGATATCATCGAAAGGATAACTTTATAATAACTTTTTCCAATTATGTTGTTTGATAAAGCTTCACTCCTACAGTTTGTGGGGTTTTTCATGTCTTTTCATAAGTAGACACATTAAAATCCAGGTGTTTTTCCCCTGGTAGAATGGCAGGAAGATTGCATAAGAAATGTTGTGGGTTTTTTTCCTGAAATGAGCCAACAGAGGAAGTCTATTAAAACATTGCAGTGGCATATAACAGAGGATAGAATAGCTCTCTAGTTATAGTCTAGTGATCCTTAGAATTCTTCAGTTATTTTTAAATTGTGCAACTAAACTAATGAACTCTGAGAAGCCAGAATGTGCCTATAATATTACCTACACTTTCAGCATAGAAAGTAATTTTGCTTGTGCTCCTAGGCTGCTTTTCTTACTCTTTCTGAAAGCTATAGACATAGATAAATGTTTGCTTCATGATGTCCAGCATCAAGTGTTGTTTTCTGGGAACTTATGGTCATGCTGAATTACAGTGAGCCAGTACAGAATCTGGCAGGTATTCCTGACCACATTAAGTTTTCTTCGATTTTTGAGTCATATTTTTGGTTTAGCTTAGGTTTAATTAAAAAAATAAATTTGCCATTTCATGGCTTAAGAAGAGGTTCTGTAACATCTGTACTGTTAGCTAGTGAGCCTGCTCTAGAAATCTTACAGGATTTCTTAAGAAGTTTTAGAGTTTAGGTTTCTTAATTGTCGATTCCTCTAGGAAACCAGAGTTATCCTTTGTCTAGCAATGTCTTGCAGGAGATGATTCACAGTATATTATGTTTTCATTTGAACACAGCTATAAACCATAGTGACAGAGAGGGTATAAACAAATAACAAAATTCACAGTTCTTGCTTTCTTGGTCAATATGACATTTAGTTTTGGAAATTGAGGTGATGATGAGGAGAGCATCAGCAACAATGACTTTGAACAACAGAATCCACAAAAATTTAATTAATTCTCATTTCTCTTAATTTAAACTTGACTATAAGCCAAGCTTGGAAGATTTCTGTTTTATGCTGCTTTTACTTTGAGTAAGTTAAAGTCATAGCCTAAAACATGTACTGTATATTTAAGGTTCTCATTGTAATAAGGCATTGCTTTAGGCTGCAATGGCAGCCTTTAAGGGCTCTCATGGTTCTGGCTCAAAAACTTTGTTTTTGAGAGCTTTGTCTTCCTGGAAATTATTTTTCTTACCCAATTTAGTAGTTCATTGATTTGATGTTTTAAAAAAAAAAGTTCAGTTTTGTAAGTTAAAATATCATCCATCTTTGTCTTCAGAGAAGTCTGTGTTGTAATTCTGGCTAGGAAAAATTGGTACCAAGTGGTAGCAAGGATGGTCATTTTCCTGTAGTAGAGGGCATCTTATTTGAGGGAGTCTCAAGAGAGCTTGACTGTTGTGTTGTTGTCATTGCATGTATGAAACAGATCTGCAGCATTTCTGAGCAGCTGTCCTGGTGGATGCCTGTGATCCTCAGGAATTGCTGTTAGCTAAACCAGGAACACTGTGTGGGCATGCAGCAATTCTTGTGTTGATTTTAGACTGTGTATGATGCAGAAGGTCACTACATGTATCTGTTTTATCTTTACATCTCCCATCAATAGCTCTTTACTTCTGCCTATCATTATTATGCCTGAGTGCTCCTCCTGGCCAGCACTGATTGCATGGGTTCTCTTGTGCAGGCACCCAGCAGTTTATGCATTAAGCTGTACAGTGTCCATGGCAATAAAAATTGGTCTTGCAGTGTCTCTGCAGCCATCTGTACTGTGCTTGGGTTTAAAACAGATGTCATATGCTACTGCATTTGCTGACTCCTAATTTTCTCTACTGTTCTCCCTATTCCTGCATAGGAAAGGCAGTTTAGTTGTAAAAATCATTTTGACTGCATGTTGATGTCTGGATGTCTGGGATGACTATTTTTGGAAGAACTTGATAAGTAAATTTTTCTGGAAAACAAGTGTATTTTTTTCTATTAGCAGCAGTGACGCCTGTTCTTTACTTACTTTTTACCAGCCAAAATGGTATGTTGCTATGGTTTCCAGATATCTTTTTCCTAGGAGCTTCTTGGCTTGGCTTGTGGAAGCAGACAGACTGACAGGCATGACCTGCTAGATAAAACATCTTTGCCAGTTAACTCCATCAAAATATATGCTATCTTTTTGTCAGGGGAATGGGTAGTTTTACACAAGGCACTGTCTCATATATGAGTCTTGTGGCCTCAGCTGACTACAAACCCACTCTGTTGGCTGTAGTTCTGCCATGTTGCTTAATTAATGCTGAAAAATAATTATTTCCTCATCTGCAGTGGTGGTCTAACATGCAAAAGTTGTTTGTTCAGTTGGAGTGTGTGAATCAACCCCCCCCCCCAGCCCCTGCATAGTTGTACATATCATGATGGTCTGCCTGAAAAGATGCAGGGAAATGAAAATTGTTACTTCTTTTGCCATCTGTTTGAGTTGCTTGCTGTCTTAGGACAGGTTTGTAACAATTAGAAAATTAAGAAGTCTTGGGAAAAAACAACTTTAATTCCTTTTCCAGTTTTTTGAAGTGGGGAAAGTTCTTTTTTTTTTTCTGGACTAGAGCTGTTGATTATACTCAGAGTGATATTAGTATTGTCTTCAGTCCTAGCTAGAAGATGCTACTTACATCCATCCACCTGCATGACATGCAGCTTCAGGGACTGTCCAGGAAAGTCCTGTACTCCTCATAGAAGACCCAGTTTTTAATAGACCTCTAGCACAACAAAGTGTGTGCAGTAGTTGAAATGAGGATAACAAATGGGGTGAGGGGTGGGGAAAGGATGGGCAGTGTGTTGTTATGGGAATATAGCAGGAATCAGTCCTGTAAGGGAGAGAGTTACTGGAGTGAATTCACTCTTGTTTAGAAAGTACTGAATTGTGATCTAAATGACTGATTGCAGGACAGTTGTGACATCATTGTTTACCCAGGCTCACTGTGGAACCAAGAGCTTTGTATCATTCTCTCTGTATCATTCCTACTCAGGAACCCAAACTGACTGGGTTTTACATGGTGTGGTTCTGTGATGGTGTAGACAGACCATTTTTGGTGCTATCTCTGAGGAGCAGAATTAGGCTGTGTATAACTTCTCTGGGAGATGGAGTTGATAAATCCTTCTGCTCTTGTCCTGGAACTTGTGAAGAATAGAGGATACAATGATTTACTTTTTTTGATTCTTTCTCATTTGCCATGCCCCAAAATGGGGCACTTTCTGCTTTGGAGGCCAGGGCAAACAACATCTTGCTCTCTCCACTGTGCTACCTCCTTCCCTTCCTCCTTAATACCTCATTGAGCCTGTGTGCAGCACCCTGCTAGTTCCTACACATTGCCCATTCTGAGGGCAGGACTGGAGATCGATGCTGAACCCTGTTTCAGTATTGCAGATAGGGCTCTGAACTTCATTCAGCATGAGAGGAATTCCCCAAAAAGAACCTATTTTAAGGTGCTGGGATTTGGCAGTCTCAGTGCTCTCTGAAGTGTCCATATCTCAAGTTGCACTTTCAAGACAACCTACTATTGTTAAGACAGCTATCTCTAAAATTCACATAGGTACCTAACAAATCATTATTGAGATAAACAGAGCTGAACCTTCAAGAATGTCATCAAACACTGTGAATCTTGGCAGTCCTGAATCTGTACTTATGTCTGGTCTTTGTACTGTCTCAGACCACTTTAAATACATTGACAGTGTCTGTAGTTTTAATCTTTTGGGGAAGAAATAAGTTTAGTGCTTTTTGGGATCTGGGTTCTCAGCCAAAAGTTTCAGAATTGTTTTAATTAAGGTAAGAGACATGGATTTGGCTGGTGGACCACTTGGTGGGTAAGGAATTGGCTGAATGGTCATACTGAAAGAGTTCCAGTCAACAGCTTAATGCTCAGGTGGAGACCAGTGAGGAGTGGTACCCTTCAGGGTGCTCTGTTGGGACCCATATTATTTAATATCTTTGTCAGGGACATGGAAGGCAGGTTTTAATAAACTTTCAGCAAGTTTGCAGATAACATCAAGCAGAGTGGTGCAGTTGATACTCTATAGTCAATAGAGAGAAGGGATCCTATCCAAAGGGACCTTGACAGAGTAGAGAGGTAGAGCTGTGCAAACCTCGTGAAGTTTGACAAGGTCAAGTGCAGGGCCCTGCATATGGGTCAAGGCAATCCTGAACATGGATACAGGCTGGGCAGTGAGTGGTTTGAGAGCAGCTTTACCATGAAGGACTTGGATGTACTGGTGGATGAAAAATGGAGTATGAGCCAGCAATGTGTGCTTGCAGCCCAGAAAGCCAGTCATATCCTGGGCTGCATTAAAAGCAGCATGGCCAGCAGGGAAAGGAAGGGGATTTTGCCCCTCTACTCCACTCTGGTGAGACCCCACTGTGAGTACTGCATTCATCTCTGGGGTGCCCATCACAAGACAGGCATGGACCTGCTTGAGCAGATCCAGAGAAGGGCCATAGAGATGTTCAGGGCTGGAGGCCTTTCCTACAGACAAGTTGAGAGAGTTGGAGTTATTTAGCCTGGAAAAGAGAAGGCTCTAGGGGCACCTTGCAGTGGCCTTGCAGTATGTAAAGGGGGCCTACAGGAAAGGTGGGGAAGCAGTCCTGAGAGTGCAGTGACAGTATATGGGGCAACAGTTTCAAACAGAAAGGATGGGTTTAGATTAGATATTAGGATCAAATCTTCACCCAAACAGGTTGCCAAGAAAAACTGTGGTTGCCCCATCCCTGAAAGTGTTCTAGGCCAGGTTGGATGGGGCTCTGATTAACCTGGTCTAGTGGAAGGTGCCTCTGCCCATGGCAGGGGGATTGAAACTGGATGGTCTTGAAGGTCTGTTCTGGCTCAGACCATTCTATTGTTCTATGATATTTCTGTGTTTAAGAAAGGCAGGGCTAATTTCAAAAGGAATATACAATTAATAATGTCACTAGGGAATTGCATTTTTTCTGAATATTTTATTATGGCAAACAATACAATCTGATTTTTAATGGGTAAAGTATATTTGTATTTTTCATATTGTTGATTACATGGAGGGAAAACCCCCATTTAGTTCTGTTTGTCTTTTAACATAAGTATTGTACTCTTTACAATTTTGAACAACTTGGATAAACATTGTTGGGCTAAACTTTCTCTCACACTGAGGAAAGGATTGTCAGTGTCAGAAGACTTTCTTTTTCTAGATGTCGTAGGTTTTGTTTTGTGGGAGTCAGCAAACATAGCTTTTATTTTATTTTTTTAAAATAACTTCTACATTAGTGTTTAGAACAACAATGATGTTATATGGCTAGGAACTACTATATCTTTTTCTTATGTTACAACTATTTTAGAAGAGATAAAACGTGTTGAACGCTGCTTTGTATTGGTTATATATATGGCATGTGCTACACAACAGGCTTTATATTTGTGGAAATCAGAATTAACATTGCTCAGTTTTATTGTACAATTGATCTTTAAACTAGGAGAGGACCAGGAGTCCTATCAGACAATGTTTATTTCAAAAAGGGATATGTGCTTTTTAGCATGTGTTATTATTTCTTTCTGTTGCCTAATTTATCTTTTTGTTCTTATGTTTAGTTACTATATCTCAAGGGAGTACAATCCAGGTTTCTAATCCAGCCTCTGATGGTGTCCATGGAGTACAGACAGTGACAAATTCAGGAGCTCCTCAGCAAGGCACTACCATTGTGCAATATGCAGGACAGTCATCCGACGGCACGCAACAGTTTTTTGTTCCTGGAAGCCAAGTTGTTGTTCAAGGTATATCTTAATAGTCTACTGTATTTTAGTTTTTTCATATAAAACAATTTTTCTTAGAAGTTTTTTTAAAATTTTGTGTTGACATTATTGCACTATTAAATAAAACACGTAAGCGTAGCAAGATGAACGACGGTCTTAGGAGGGGACTCAGGTTCTCTGCTCAGTAAGGCAGCTACTTCTTTTGATTAAAAGAAAGGAACTAATAGTATAAAATCACTTTCTGCTTTGAATTCTCTTGTCCAGATTTTGAGCCTGGAGAAGAGGAGTAAAGGTGCTGTTGTAGATTGAAGTGTGATGCTGAAGGTGTGCCTCATTTAATATGAGAAACTAATTTGGGGTTTTTTTCCAGCAGTTAATCTTAATAAAACACAAGTTCTGAAGTTGTTTGGATGTGTTTAGGGCAGAATTTCCTTGCAACTTACGGCTTTTGTAGTTATTAGGAAGCAGATCCTTTACTGAAGCTAGTGTTCTCACAGAAGAACACTTTGAAGGTCCTATAAAGTGCACACATGAACTGAACTGTGAATAGTGAATTCTTGGACCTTACTGTAGTTCATGCAGGACTTTTTGTTTGTTCTTTTTTCCCTTCTACTGTTCCCAGCCTTTTGGTAATGCTGAGGGAGATGGAGAACCAAACGTGTCTTGGATTCTGAGCAGTATCAGAGGATTTGGGTTATGCTGACAAAAACCTTCAAATGTGGGGAAGAGATTTCTCTGTGAAGACTCTTAAATTAATAGCTGCCAGGGAGCATATGTAGAATTATTTTTATTTTTTATTTTATTGGCACACAGAAGTAGGGAGGGCTGTATGAATACTTCCTTAGGGCAAAGCAGCTATCTGAAATAAACCATGAGAAGACCTAGGAAGACTTTTAATACATGTTCATGGAGTGGATAAGAGTCATCCAGTAAGTGTAGACACAGATATCTGAGATAGTTGGTGAAGTCCAGGTTGAGGTGCTTTATTTTCTCTACTAAGGATGTTTGAAATAATTTTGTCTTTCGGTGGCTGTTGCTCTCCCTTTGCTGTAAAGGTAGCCCAGGATGTAAATAAAACTAATAGCTTGTAGATGTCTGAACTTGTTGAGACAAAGCTAAATAATGATACCAAATTTGAATTCTTAAATGAAAATGGTTGATGAAATACATTGTCATTCCAAGACTTTCCAGAAGCATTTCAAGGAAGTTCTAGGTCTATATAT